CTTCTTCAGTCTTCCTTATTCACTGTCCACCTTTCCCACGCATATGAGGCAATTGAAAGTACCATGGCTTGGATCAGGCGTACCTTAGTCCTCAAAGTGACATCTTTACTTTTCAACACTTGAAAGAGGTCTTTTGCAGCAGATTTGTTTGATTTCTTGACTGCTGCTTCCATGGGTGTTGATTGTGGATCCAAATAAAATGATATCTTCGACAACTTCAGTATTTTCTCCATTTATCATGATGTTGCTTATTCGCCCAGTTGTGAGGATTTTTGTTTTCTTTGCTGTATTCTTTGATCTTCATCAGTAAGTGCTTCAAGTCCTCTTCACTTTTAGCAAGCAAGGTTGTATTATCTGAGTATCGCAGATTGTTAGTCAGTCTTCCTCCAATCCTGATGCCCCATTCTTCTTTACATAGTCTAGTTTCTCTGATTATTTGCTCAGCATACAGACTGAATAAGTATGGTGAAAGGATACAACCCTGACTAACACCTTTCCTGATTTTAAACCACGCAGTTTCCCCCTGTTCTGTTCAAACAACTGCATCTTGGTCTATGTACAGGTTCCGCATGAGCACAATTAAGTGTTCTGGAATTCCCATTCTTTGCAATGTTATCCATAATTTGTTGTGATTCACACAGTTGAATGCCTTTGCATAGTCAATGAAACACAGGTAAACATCTTTCTGGTGTTCTCTGCTTTCAGCTGAGATCCATCTGACATCAGCAATGATATCCCTCATTCCATGTCCTCTTCTGAATCTGGCTTGAATTTCTGGCAGTTCTCTGTCAAAGCACTGCTGCAACTGTTTTTGAATGATCTTCGGCAGAATTTTACTTGTGTGTGATATTAATGATATTGTTCCATAATTTCCACGTTCTGTTGGATCACTTTTCTTTGAAATGGGCACAAATATGCATCTCTTCCAGTCGGTTAGCCAGGTGGCTGTCTTCCAAATTTCTTGGCATAGACGATTGAGCACTTCCAGCGCTGCATCTGTTTGCTGAAACATCTCAACTGGTATTCCGTCAATTCCTGGAACCTTGTTTTTCACCATTTCCTTCAGTGCAGCTTGAATGTCTTCCTTCAGTATCATCGATTCTTGATCACATGCTACCTCCTGAAATGTCTGAATGTTGACCAATTATTTTTGGTAAAGTGCCTCTGTGTAGTCCTTCTATCTTCTTTTGATGCTTGCTTCCTATGTCGTTCAATATTTTGCACATAGAATCCTTCAGTATTGCAACTCGAGGCTTGAATTTTTTCTTTAGTTTTTTCAGCTTGAGAAATGCCCAGCATGTTCTTCTCTTTGGTTTTCTAACTCTAGGTCTTTGCACATTTCATTATAATACTTTACTTTGTCTTCTTGAGCTACCCTTTGAAATCTTCTGTTCAGCTCTTTTACTTCATCGTTTCTCCCATTAGCTTTAGCTACTTTGCGTTCAATAGTAAGTTTTAAAATCTCTTCTGACATCCATTTTAGTCTTTTCTTTCTTTCTTGTCTTTTTAATGACCTCTTGTTTTCTTCATGTATGATGTCCCGGATGTCATCCCACAACTCATTTGGTCTTTGGTCATTAGTGTTCAGTGTGTCAAATCTATTCATGAGATGGTCTCCAAATCCAGGTGGGATATATTCAAAATTTTACCTTGACTCTTGTGGACTTGTTTTAATTTTCTTCAGCTTCAACTTGAACTTACATATGAGCAATTGATGGTCTGTTCTGCACTCAGCTCCTGGCCTTGTTCTGACTGATAATACTGAACTTTTCCTTCAACTCTTTCCACAGATGTAGTTGATATGATTCCTGTGCAGTCCTTATGGCGAGGTCCACATGTATAAAAAAATATTGATTGCCATCGAGTCAATTCTGACTCATAGCAACACCATAGGACAGAGTAGAACAGCCCCATAGGGGTTCCAAGGAGTGGCTGGTGGATTCGAACTGCCAACCTTTTGGTAGCAGCCATAGCTCTTAACCACTGCACCACCAGGGCTCCACGTGTATAGTCACCATTTATGTTGTTAAAAAAAAAAGGTATTTTCAATGAATAGGTTGTTGGCTTTGCAAAATTCTTTCTTGGAATCTGTGCCATCGTTTCTATCACCAAGGCCATATTTTCCAATTACTGATCCTTCTTCTTTGCTTCCAACTTTTGCATTCCAATCACCAGTAATTATTAGTGCATCTTGATTGTATGTCTGATCAATTTCAGACTGCAGAACTTGGTACAAAACTTCAGTTTCTTCATCTTTGGCATTAATGGTTGGTGCGTAAATCTGAGTAATAGTCTTATTAACTGGTCTTCCTTGGAGCTGTATAGAGATTATCCTCATACTGATAGAGTTGTATTTCAGGATCTTGAAAAGTTCTTTTTGATGATGAATGCGATGCATTCTTCTTCAATTTGTCATTCCCAACATGGTAGACCATATGATTGTCTGATTCCAAATGGCCAATACCATTCCATTTCAGTTCACTAATGCCTAGGAAGAGCCCTGGTGGTGTAGTGGTTAAGACCTTGGCTGCTAACCAAAAGGTCGGCAGTTCAAATCCACCAGCTGCTTCTTGGAAACCTTATGGAACAGTTTTACTCTGTGCTATAGGGATGCTATGAGTTGGAATCGACTCAACGGCAATGAGTTTGGAGGCCCAATGGCACAGTGGTTAAGTGCTATGGCTGTTAACTAAAAGGTCAGCAGTTCGAATCCACCAGGCGCTCCTTGGAAACCCTATGGGGCAGTTTTACTCTGTTCCATAGGGTCACTATGAATCGGAATTGACTGGAAGGCAATGGATTTTTTAATGCCTAGGATATAGATCTTTATGCATTCCACTTCATTTTTGACGACTTCCAATTTTCCTAGATTCATACTTTGTACATTCCGATTATTGATGGATGTTTGCAGCTGTTTCTTCTCTTTTTGAGTCGTGCCACATCAGCAAATAAAGGTCCCAAAAGCTTTACTCCATCCATGTCATTAAGGTTGACTTTGCTTTGAGGAGGGAGCTCTTCCTCAGTTATATTTTGAGTGCTTTCTAACCTGAGGGTCGAATTTTCTCAGAAGTAGACGCCAGGTCCTTCTTCCTAGTCTGTCTTAGTCTGGAAGTGCTGCTGAAACCTGTCCACCATGGGTGATCCCTGCTGGTACTTGAAATACCTGTGGCATAGCTTCCAGCATCACAGCAACACACAAGCCACCACAGTACAACAAACTGACAGACACATAGTAAAGTTCCAACTGTTTCAGTGTTCAAAACAAATAATCATAGTGCTATGAGAGCATCTACTAGGAAATTTGGCTTGGTCATGGACGTTGTGAAGGCTTCCATGACATGTGATTGAGGCAGGTTCTGAAAAACAGGTAGAGTTAATAAGCCACAGGGGAATGGAGGAGCAATCCAGGCAGAAGGATCAGTATCAATGAAGGCCCAAGATGGCCTTTTTAACTCAAATGAAGAAAGATCTGTGCTACTGAGTATAAAGGGTAAGTAGGGAGTGTAGTGTGACATGAGGATGGAGATGGAAGTAGGAGACTGATCACTAAGTACCTCTTTGTGACCGTATGTCCTGGTTTGACAGTCTTAGTTTATAGCCGGGAATGATAAATTATATGATCACTGTATTATAGGTCATGTTAATAAGTTTTGTCTCTGTCTCAAGAGCATTGAGAAATCACTGAAGGGGTTTGGGGTCCTGGGCAACTTGTGCAATGTTTCGTTTTGAAAAGCTCTTTCAGGGTGTGGTGTGGAGGACAGACTGGATAGCAGGTCTCAGTGAATATCCATAGGTGAGTCACATGGCTATTGTAGTTGACCATGTAAGAAATGTAGCTTGGAATAGGGCAGGGGTAATGGAGATGGAGGAAACTAGAAATATTCAATCGATATTTGAAGGAGGTAAAATTGAGAGGCTTGCATGTGAAGGAGTGGTAAAGAAGATCCTTGTCTGAATAGTGGTGTCATTCACTGAGAAGGGGACACAGGGAGGGGACCGATCTGGTTATATTGAAGTTGAGGTCATTTGAGACATACAAGAGAAGGTGTTAAGTAGAAAAGCAGGTATGCAGGTCTAGAGCTTAGATAAGAGATCTCAGGTAGAGATAGAAATTTGTAAATCATCTGCTTTTAGATAATGATTAAAAGTAAATACTGTAAATGTATAGATGAGACTACCTAGGAGGGTATATTGTTGTTGTTGGGTGCCATTGAGTCAATTCTGACTCATAGCAACCCCATGTGACAGAGTAGTTTTCTTGGCTGTAATCTTTATGGGAGCAGATCACCAGGTCTTTCTCCTGGGGAGCTGCTGGGGCGGGGAGGGAGGATGGAGTTCAAACCACCAACCTGTGGGTTAGCAACTAGGTGCTTAACCATTGTGCAACAGGGCTACTTAAGGGGGTATACCCAAACCAACCCACTGCTGTCGAGTCGATTCCGACTCAGAGTGACACTGTAGGACAGAGTGTTCCATAGGATTTCCAAGGCAGTAAATCTTTACAGAAGTGGACTGCCACATCTTTCTCCTGCAGAGGGGCTGGTGGGTTAGAACCATCAACCTTTTGGTTAGCAGCAAAGTGCTTAACCACTGCTCCACCAGAGCTCCTTTTAGAGGGTCTAAACCAAAAACTAAACTCATTGCCGTCGAGTCGATTCCAACTCATAGTGACCCCATAGGGTTTCCGAGGCTGTAAATCTCTACGGAAGCAGACTGCCACATCTTTTACCTGAGAGCCACTGGTGGTTTCTAACTGCTGAGCTTTCGGTTAGCAGTCGATCACTTTAACCACTGTGCCGCCAGGGTTCCTTAAGAGGGTATAGACGAGAAAAAATAAGAGGGTCTCATATAATCAACTAAAATAAGAGAACTGGTCTTATTCTTTCCGTGAATCTGAAAAGTCTGATTTTACTCTGTGTCACATGACAATTCACTGGTTCCTAGGTCTGAGTACATTGGGAATAAGAGTCCACTGACCATCTTTCTTCTTCTGCCTTTAGGGGGTGATGACAACAATCTCAACTCCATCTTTTATGAGCACTTGACAAGGGCCCTCCAGGAGTCCCTCTGTGGGGACTTAGTTCTTGGTCGTTGGGGTAACTACAGTTCTGGCGATTGCTTTATTTTGGCTTCAGATTACCTCAATGCCTTTGTTCACCTGATTGAAATTGGAAATGGTCTTGTTACCTTTCAACTTCGAGGCCTAGAATTCCGAGGTAAGAATCTCTTAATTGTGGGAGTTGTTGGGAGTCGCTTGAGTTAATTATCATGAAAAGCTTTAATAAGAAGTCACCATTAAAAAGGAAGAATTTCATGCCTGTCCTATTGAATGAGAATCAGAAGCTTGTACCTTTAACCATGTATTCTGATATAAACAACGGTCATCATCTAAGGGAATGATTAAGTGAAACATATAATCCAATATAAATCTGTGGATTAGCAAATCAGGAAATTGGTTTCAATCGTAGGAACAACTCAGGAGCAATAGGAGACAATGGAGCACACATGGGCTTCATTTGAAGTCCAAAAAACCAAACCAAACCTGTTGCCATTGAGTCAATGCCAACTCATAGTGACACTATAGAACAGAGTAGAACTGCCCCATAAGGTTTCCAAGGACCAGCTGGTGAATTTGAACTGCTGATCTTTTGGTTATCAGCCAAGCTCTTAACCTCTCCACCGCCAGGGCTCCCATTTGAAGTCAGCCAGACCTAAAATAGAACCTGGATCTGCCAGTTTTAGGTGTTGGGTTCTGTTGTGGGCAAGTCACTTAATATCTCTGAGCTTTTATTTTTCATGTGTAAAATAGCTACCTCATGAGGTTGTTGTATGTTTAAATGCGATCATGCACTACATGACTGCTCATTGCTTTGTGGTTTTTGAGTCTACCTGAATCTTGAGACTGTGATCCCAATTTTTCAATTCCTCAGAAGCTGGAGTTGCATGATGGAGCCAAGTCTTTGTAACTGAGAGCATGCAGTGATTAGCATAATTGATGTACTTTTTAAAAAAATTTATTTATTTTGTTTTTGTTAAGAATATACACAGCAAAACATACATCAATTCAATAGTTTCTACATGTACAATTCAGTGACATTAATTACATTCTTCCAGTTGTGTAACCATTCTCACCATCCTTTTCTGAGTTGTTCCTCTTCCATTAACATAAACTCACTGCCCCCTAAAGTTGCTATCTAATCTTTCGAGTTGCCATTGTCAATTTGATCCCCTATACCAAAAACCAAACCTGTTGCTGTCGAGTCGATTCTGACTCATAGTGAACCTATAGGACAGAGTAGAACTGCCCCACAGAGTTTCCAATGAGCGCCTGATGGATTTGAACTGCCAACCTTTCGGTTAGTAGCTGTAGCACTTAACCACGATGCCACCAGGGTTTCCTGATCCCATATAAATAGATCTTAAAAGAGCACAATGCTCAAGGCAGACATTTTTTACTAGTTAAGCTAAACTATTGTTTGGTTTTAAGAAGACTTCAGAGAATATTTTTGGTTTAAGATTTAAAGATTATCTCAGTGACGTAGTTTCATGGGTTAATCCAGCCTCCATGGCTCCAGAAAGTCTGGAGTCCATGAGAATTTGAAATTCTTTCTGCATTTTCACCCTTTTGATCAGGATTTTTCTACAGAATCTTTGATCAAAATGTTCAGTAAAGGTAGCTGGACTCCATCCAGTTCTTGTGGTCTCATGGCAAAAGAAGCAGTTGTTCATGGAGGCAATTAGCCACACATTCTGTATCCTCCTCCTATTCCTGACTCTCCTTCTTCCTCTGTTGCTGCGGGCAAATAGAGATCAGTTGTTGTGCCTTGGTTCCTTTTTCCTTTGTTCTCCAAGTATCCCTTTGTCTTAGTCATCTAGTGCTGCTATAACAGAAATACCACAAGTGGATGCCTTTAACAAAGAGAAATTTATTCTCTCACAGTCTAGGAGGCTAGAAGTCCGAATTCAGGGTGCCAGCTCCAGGGGAAGGCTTTCTCTCTCTGTTAGCTCTGGGGGAAGGTCCTTGTCATCAATTTTCCCCTGGTCTAAGAGCTTTCCGGTGAGACGCTGGGTCCAAAGGATGCCCTGTGCTCCCAGTGCTTCTTTCTTGGTCGTAAGAGGTCCCCCGTCTCTGTGCTCGATACTCTCTTCTATATCTCAGAAGAGATTGACTCAAGATACAATCTAATCTTGTATATTGTGTCCTGCCTCATTAACATCATAAAGGTAGGATTTACAACACATAGGAAAATCACATCAGCTGACAAAATGGTGGATAATCACACAATACTGGGAATAGATGGCCTAGCCAAGTTGACATTTTTGGGGGACACAATTCAATCCATATCCCCCTTCATTCAATAATGTTTATTGAGAACCTCCTCTGGATCAGGCAATGTTCTACTGCTGAGATACAATGGAAATAGGACATGAAAGATTCTTACCCAGATGTTTACTTTCAGTGGGAGATATGGAAAATAAACAAGTTATCAAATGAGCAAACTAATTACAGCTTGGAGAAAACCCTATGAAAGAAGTGATTAGGTTTTGTGATAGAAATTTACTCAAGAGGATTAGAGGTGCCGCATTAGATAGGATGGTCAAGAAAGGCCTCTTTGAGGTAGTTATGCTTAAGGCAAAGCTATAGGAAGCAAAGGTGGCTGCCGTGCAAAGACCAGGAGGAAGAATGTCCAGGCATAGGAACTGATAAGTGCTAAATGTATGAGTCAGGGAAGAGGATTTACGTGGCTAGAGCTTAGTCAGTGTGCACGAGATGAGGCTGGGAGTCCGAATTAAGTGGAGCTTCACAGCTAAGGCTAAGAGTTTGGATTTTATTTTATGTATAAAGGGGAACCATTTAGGGATTCTGGAAAGGGGAATGACTGACCTAATTTATACTTTCCAAGGTCTTTCTGGTAGCTGTGTGGAGAATGTGGTGGAGGGGGAAAAGTGGAAGCAGGGAGAGATTTTAGGAATTTATTGTAGTGACGTAAGCAAGGGATGATGGTGGAGATAGAGAACTGCTAAGAGACTTGGACGTGGAAGCAACAGGATTGGATGGGCAGTGAGGGGAAGGGGTAAGTCAGGCATGGTCCTAAGTTACCAGGCTGAGTGACTGGTGGACAGTGGTGCCATTTACTGAAACAGGGAAAGCTAGAGGAGGAATGGAGCCCTTGTGGCACAGTGGTTAAGAGCTACGGCTGCTAACCAAAAGGTGGGCAGTTTGAACCCACCAGCCACTCCTTTGAAACCCTATGGGGCAGTTCTACTCTGTCCTATAGGGTCACCATGAGTTAGAATCGACTAGACAGCAGTGGGTTTGGTTTTTTTTGGTGGGGGGGGGGGTGGCGGAGGAGGAATGGGACTTTTTGGTCTAGGGGTGGAGGTTCAACCAAGATCTCCATCTTAGATATTTTTATTTTTCAGTGCCCATGATTCATTCAAATGAACATATCAAGTAATTAATTGGACATATGAGTCTTGCATTCATTCTGGAGGTGCTTATTTAGCATTCACATATGTCAAGCAAGGTTCCCTGGGTGATACAAATGGTTAAGCACTTGGTTGCTAACCAAAAAGTTGGTGGTTCAAATCCACCCAGGGGTACCTTGGAAGAAAACCCTGGCAATCTACTAATGAAAAAATAGCCATTGAAAACCCTGTGGAGTACAGTTCTGCTGTGACACACAGGAGGTTGCCATGAGTTAGAGTTGACTTGATGGCAACTGGTTTGGTTTCGGTATACAGGCAGTCCCCAGGTTAGGAACATCCAACTTACGAACAGCTCATACTTAAGAGCCAGATGCCAGAAAGCCTATTAATATTAAATTTTTTAGTTAAATGCAATGGTTCTTAATAACGAACCACTACTTTGTGACGTTCATGAAAACGTATGTGCAGTTTGGAAGTGTTTCTTAAGTGTTTTATATGCACAGAAAGGTAAAATATATACTGTATACTAAGACAAACATTTAACCAACTGATGCTAAATAAGAACCATATGTATCTGTTCCGACTTGCCTACAAATTTGTCTTAAAGACAGACTTAGGAACAGATCTCGTTTGTAACATGGGAGCTGCCTGTGTGTCAAGCACTGGGAGGAGTTCTGAATACAGAAGCCAGGGCCTCCCAGCTGAAGGAGCTGGAGCCTTGCTGAGTAGGTCAACAAGTAATGAAGTCTTGCTGTAGGGTGAGATGAGTGCTGTGATCGCACCATGTAAAGGGCGCCATGCGAACTCAGAGGGAGCTGTGAGATCTGATTGTGATTTGAATCAGCTCGGCAGAGGAGAAGCCACTGGTAGGAAGGGAGAGAAGGGCAGGTCTGTCCCTACAAAAGGAACACAGGTGATGACAAAGAGGCACAGAGAAGTCACAGGTGGCTTCTAGGCAGGCAGTTTGGGAGGAAGTGGTCAGAGACAATGCTGGAAAAGTAAAGAGAGGCCAGATCAGAGCTATCCAGAACCTGACCATGACATAAGGACACCTTTTAACCAAAAACAAATTGCCATTATTTCACATCTTTAACACCATTACAGAAAGAGGACAAGGTCTTTGAGTTCTTCGGATGAAAATTTCTAATCATTAATTTTGTAGATATTCATCGCTTTTAATAACATTCCTAGATAAATTTATACAAAATGCTAAGTGTTTTTCTAGAGAGATAGGTTCAATGTTTTATGCGTGTATTCTGTGCATCCTTATGAATTTCAGGAATCTAATTTAGAAAGCTAATTTAACAAGGTTATCAGGTGGGGGAGGAGTGATCAGATCTGACAGAGTAATCAGAGAAGCTGTGCTTCCCCTCAACTTTGCACAAATGCCAGAAAATGCCACAGGAAGTAGTGGAAATAAAGTGTCTCCAGTGCAATAATGCAACAAAATTGGCCTCTGAATTTCTGAATCTCAACTATTTTGAGAGCTTTTCTCTTTTTCCTGGAATTCAAGGGAAGAACTTTTAAAGCTAGCATAATTGTATGTGAGTGATGGTTTCTATCACGAGTTCTGTGATAGCAAACTTAACCAATCTTTGAGTTTAGAGGAGTTCCAAGTTAATTAGATTCTAAAAGCTTACAGTACTTTTTCTGTCTGCCATCTCTTCATCGCAAATGGGAATTCCTCCCAATCCACCACAGTAATGTTTTTGTCTCACGTGTGGACTTACCCACTGTGATAACAAGCCACAGCAAAACTTAATAGTTTGAAACAACAGTGATTTAT